AGAAGCAGCATGATTCAAATTTTCTAAGCATGCTAGCTTCAATGATTTAACCCATTCAATTATCTCTATATCAAAAATCAGTAAATTTCTATCAACATTTGCCTTGGTGATAGTTGGTTTTGGTTTTAGGATATCAATTTTGTGAGAGTTAGAGGCAAGGTTATCTAGCGCTTCTAAGTCTATTACAGTTCTTAGGTGATCTTCTAGAGGGTTAATAGGAGAGGGAGAGGGAAAATCATAAATGATAATGGGTGATGGAGGTGTGTGTGGTGGAGTGGAATGGTAAGGAGATGGGATTTCTGGAATGTTATGGATTGAGAGAGGTTGTCAAACCATGAGAGGTTTTGTTATTCCAGGAATTAGTGTGGTGGTATCAAAGTCAATATTTGGATTTTCTGGTTGGGAAGCGTGAGTGTTTTGATTTTCAGAGTGGGTAGCTTGGAAGTTTTGATTTTCTATGTGGGGAGCTTGAAATTCTGGATCAAATTGATCAATATCAGAAAGAACTTGAGCAAGTTCTGGCTGATTTTGGTCAAGATGTGCATTAGGAGAGTGCGGTTCATTCAGAATGTTTTCTAGTGTGACTAAAGGGTCAAATTTTATATCAAAATCATCAAAGGTTTTTGGTGAGGGGTCTTCTATTGGTTTTAGAGAGGAGGGTGTTTCAGATGTTGATAAAATCACTCATTCTACAACAAAAATAAAAGAAGAATTACCTTTGTTCTTAGCAGCTTTTGGTACCTTCTGAGAAGATCCTTCTCCTACAACTTTCCTTTTTCTGGATTTCTTGAGAACAACTTCTGGATCCTGTTGACGCAGATCATGAATGTTTAACTCTGGATTAGTCCCACCCATCTTGCATGCTTCTAGATATCTGACAATGATTTCTGGTGAAGCATCTATTTGAGAGAACAAAGGGAAATCTTTCAGAGGAACTCTTCTTGATGTGATGACTTATTTGGTTGCAATAGTTGGATCCTTCTTAATGCTGTCAATGATTTTCATCTTCTTCAGATTCCAAGCATTGAGTGGTTTTCCAGCACATGCTTCTAGAGTGCTGGCCTGTGAAGCTTCAGTCAGATATTCTACTAATTTGTTTTCAGTCAGAATATCTGATATCAGCCTACCCAGAGGTATCGAATCCCTCTTAGTTCTTTCTTCTTCTCTGGTTTCCTTCACACTTGTCTTCAGATGATTTAATAGTAGATGAGGAAGATTTATCTTTGCTTTTGTTGCAATGAAGTACAACATAAATTATTGGTCAATATTGATATAATCAGGAGAGCTTGTGGGCTTCCTGTGGTTGATACAGCCCAAAATAATTTTTGCCCAAATCCTGAAGTAGTCCTTCAGATCTTTAATTTTGTTTGATGGCTGCCCAGAGGTAAAAATATCTCTTGAGATTGTTGCTAGGTCGGAACATTTTTCTGCCATATCGTTGCAACGGATTCCTCCGCCGTTATGACCAATCCACCTTGCAATCAGATCTTCAGAAATTGCAATCTTCTTCCTGATAACATACAATGTTACCTGATGATTTGATGTAGAGGCGTGAATCCAGAATTCCTTGACCAATTTTGGGAAAACTAGACCCGGAAGATGATCAAAATATCTAGTCCATCCTTGAAATTCCACATCAGGTGTAAGATTATAGCTGTTTTCCTTCATGCTTTCAAAATCAATAATGAGTTCGTAGAGAACCTCTAATGAATCAATGGGGGTCAGTAGCATTCTTGACGGTTCTTCATATCTTTCTGCAGTTGACAAAGATGAACCAGGAACACATTGAGTGTTTTGAGTGCTTAAAGATGAAGCCATTGTTCACACAGACTGTTGAAGGTTTTCTTTTTGAAAGGAAGTTTTGAACACAAAAATTAGAGAGAAAACAATAGCAAGAAGAAGTGAGAGTGAAAGTGAATGGTGTATTTATAAGCAAATTGAAAAATTAATTATCAAGAAAAGTGTAAAAAAAATTAATGATTACATAGCATAAATGATTCCTGAAAATAGGGAGATGGCGTAGAGTTATAGAACAGTTACCAATATAACACGAGTCTCAATGCATCCAATCAAATATTTAATCCCTTCAGAATTTGAATGTGTGTTCAGCTTTAGAAGGACGCTTGTGAGAGGATGACTGATGTTGATGATGTGAACTGCATCCTTCTATCTTTGAAATGAACCGTTTGGAAACTGTTCAAATCTTCTTGGATAGATCCTGATGCAACTGTCCTTCTAACTTCGGAAGAATTGTTGATCAGATGTTCATAAGAAAAACATAAAATTATGAGGGTTAAAGAATATATAAATAAAACTCTTATTCTGGACATAATTTCATGTTGAGATGTTTCAGAATGAAATGAAACCTATCTTCATAAAGTGGTTTATTGAAGACATCAACTCATTGATGGTATGTGTCAATAAATTTTAAGGAAATAATTCCTTTATGAATATAGTCCCTAATAAAGTGATGTTTTATTTCTATATGCTTAGCCCTAGAATATAAAATAGGATTTCTAGATAAACAAATTACAGAAGTGTTATCACAGAATATAGGAATTTTACTCTCAAATATATTGAAGTCTTCAAGCTGACTTTTCATCCAGAGCATATGTATGTTGCATCCAGCTGCTGCTATGTATTCAGCTCCAGCAGTTGATAATACAATTGTGGATTGCCTCTTGTTGGTCCATGAGATCAGATTTTCTCCCAGAAGCTGGAAGCTTCCAAAAGTGTTTTTTCTTTCTACTCTATCTCCAGCAAAGTCAGCATCACAGTACCCTACTAATTTATATTCACTGGTTTTTCTATAAAATAGGCCAAGATTAGTATTACCTTTCAGATACTTGAAAATTCGCTTAACAAATGTTAAGTGAGATTCTCTAGGATCTGATTAGAATATGTCACATAAGCATACACTATATAGAATATCAGGTCTTGAAGCTATAAGATATAAGAGAGAACCAATCATACCTTTGTAGATCTTTTGTCCTACCTTTTTACTTACCTCTTCCTTTTCTAGAATGCATGTAGGATGCATTGGAGTCTTGGCTGGCTTACATTCTGATAAGTCGAATTTATTCATAAGTTCTTTGACGTATTTGCTCTGGTGTATGTAAGTTCCTTCTGGAGTTTAATTGATCTAAATGCCCAGAAAGAATTTGAGTTCTCCCATCAAACTCATTTCAAACTCTGCCTGCATAGACTTAGAAAATTCTCTTCCTAGAGAGGTTTTAGTAGATCCAAAAATAATATCTTCTACATAAATTTGAAAAAATAGAATGTCATTCTTAAATGGCTTACAGAATAAGGTTGTGTCCACATTCCCTCTAGTGAAATTATTTTCTAAGAGAAAGCTACTTAGTCTTTCATACCAAGCTCTGGGAGCTTGTTTCAGACCATATAGTGATTTATTTAGTTTGAAAACATATTCTGGATGTTTGGAATTTTCAAAACCAAGGGGTTGGTGCACATAAACTTCTTCATCAATGTATCCATTTAAGAATGAACTTTTGACATCCATCTGATAGAGAGTGATGCCATTATTTACAACAAAGGAAACTAAAATTCTGAGATTCTAACCTGGCGACTGGAGCAAAGGTTTCTGTATAGTCTATCCCCTCTTACTGACTATAACCTTGTGCAACCAGTCGTGCTTTGTTTCTGATGACTTTTCCTTGTTCATTCAAATTGTTTCTGAATACCCATTTTTTTGCAATGACGTTGAACCCTTTTGATTTGGGAACCAGATCCCACACATCACTTCTGGTGAATTGGTTTAATTCCTCCTACATAGCAAATATCCAATCATTTTCTAGAAGAGCTTCATCAATGGAAGTTGGCTCAATCAGAGACATTAATCCCATGAGAGATTCTTCATAGTTTCTGAATGTGGATCTTGTTCTGATTGGGTCTTCCTTCTTTCCCGGAATTTTGTCTTCAGGATGAGCTAGGCTGCTTCTGGATTTTCTTTTCTGGAGAGGTTCTTCAGATGTTATTGTAATATTTGTGACATCTCCTTCTGATGTTGTTTGTGATTCTTTGTAAGGAACTTCGGATGCAGTGTCTACAGTACCTTTAAATTGGACATCTATATCGGCAAAAGATACATTTTGCTTTGACTTTTGAGAGCCAAGCTTGTCATCAAATCTAACACTGATTGACTCTTCTACAATCTGTGTTTCTATGTTGTATACTCTATAGCCTCTTGAGCGTTCAGAGTATCCTAACATAATACACTTCTATGCTTTAGAGTCAAACTTGTTCAGATTTTCTTTGGTGTTAAGAATAAAACAAATACATCCAAGTGGATGGAAGTACGAGATGTTGGGCTTTCTGTTCTTCCACGGTTCATATGGAGTCTTATCCAGAATAGGTCTTATGGAGATTCTATTATGAGTATAACACGATGTGTTAACTGCTTTTGCACAGAAGTTCTTAGCAATGTTAGTCTCGTTGATCATGGTTCTAGCCATTTTTTGTAAAGTTTTTTTCTTTCGTTCAACAACTCCATTTTGTTGGGGAGTTCTAGGACAAGAGAAATCATGAGATGTCGTTCTCAAAAAAATATTTCAAATTTTTTGTTTTCAAATTCTCCACCATGATCACTTTTGACTTTAACAATTCTAAGATCTTTTTCGTTTTGGACTTGGTTACAGAAAGCAAAGAATATTCTCTCAATTTCTCTTTCTTGAATCTTCTCTGTAATTTCTCTTTCTCTGCTTCAATCTTCAACATTCACTCACTAAGAAAAGCTTCACAACATTCATCTTCAACATTCACTCACCAAGAAAAGCTTTCGTAATATTTATCTTCAACGCTCATCATCATCACAATAAACTTCAATAATTCTGCTTCGACATCAATACACACGTATCGCAACGAAAAACAACACTACATCATCTTCAATCATCAAGAATTTGAATCTCATCTTCACTGCCTCTGCAACAACATTGATTCACGAATCCATCATCTCTAAAATGCAATAAGCAACAACGTTAATGCACAGAGCTTTCAGAAGAAGAAGAAAATTGCACAGAGGAATTACAAGATACATATACCTGGAATTTCACGGAACCTATGGATTTCTCGTCTTCACGGTTACATTGAAGAAGCACCGGACTTCTCTGGTAGGTAATCCAAAAATTTCGTTATCGTCTCTGCATTGTTGTGTGAATCTCTGACGTGTGTATTGTTGTTCTATCGAATTATCATTGTGTTGAAAAGGTGAAGACGATGAAACCGGGGTGCTAAAAATAAGAAAATTCAAAGTGAAGCACAGAGATGTTGCGGATGGAGATGAAAGTGATAGAGGAGAAGTTGGTCAGCGAAGGTGATAAGTGATGGTGCTGATGAAGTTGATTGATGAGGATGGAGGCTCCGTTGAGAGGAGAGTCAAAAGTTGAGCACAGACGTTAGTGTTTCGTAGAAAGTGAAATGAATAAGACAGTGACAACGAAATGAGGAAGATGATGTAGCCATCGCGAAAAGATGGAGGATGAATCAGAGAAGAGACGTGAGAGGTGAACGGTGGAGTTGAGATAGAGAATGGAATTTATGTCGCAGTTCTATTGAGAGAGATGGAGAATTGTCCTCAAGAGAAGCTGATAAGCCACAAAACTCAACCCTAATTTTCATTAATCTAACATGTATCCCTTTTTCAATTTCTTTGTTTTTGTTTGTCTTATTATTCAAATTCAAATAAATAATGAATCATGCTAAATGAAAAATCTGGTGGATTGAGATAGTTGCATGGGCCGAACGATACTCCTCCATAGGCCCATGTGCTAGTTTTTGGCAGTCTGATTGTTTGAACAAGAAAAATGGCTTATTGGACTAAACTGAAGTGGGCCTGGCGCTTCACTTACTGAACTCCCTGATTCCAATTGTCACCTATGGATCCTGGCTTGCACCCCCTTGGATTTATTCCATTTGCAATTTCTTTTGAATAAATTTGTTAATTGTTTAAATTTGTTTGAATTTCTCCACATGAAAAAAAAAACAAAATCAATAAAAAATTGTTATATTTTTTATTTTATTTTAGGAATTAATTCATGATTATCCGATTACTCAAGACTTGTAATTCACTTTTGCTTGTCGAGATTTGATTCTTATGTAGGCTTATTGTGTGATATGCAGATAAGCTTGAGTTCTTGATTGTGATTTATTTTCATATTGATGATGCTTCGACGCTTATCCCGAGCATTTTATTTCTGACTATTTTCTGTTGATTGGTGAAGGTTGCTCGAAGTTTTCCGGGTTTCTCTGATTTTCTTGCTTGCTACGAACTCTTGTTCGTTTGGTATTATACTGATTCTGGTTTATTTCTCTGCATCATTTACCGTTTTCCTTGCCATGAGAAATAGGACTAGAGATGCATGACTGAGAGTCCCTACTTTAGGTGGATAATATGGTTTTAAAATACCTGTAGCAGGAAATTCCTACTAGTGCATATTTGGTTACCATTTTGTGTGTTTACATTTGTGCCAAAGACCTCGATGAAGGTGTCCCATTCCCATTCCCCATAGGTAAGTCCTAAAAGAAGGCAAGGGGGAAAGGGTCTGCAATTGGCCCCCATAATTTCTAGTCCATAGGTCATTCATAGCTTGCGTCTTACGTTGATGCTACGAATCGTGCTATTCTTGTTACCGATTCAGTCAAGTGGAATGCAGGGATCTGTAACCAATACCCCATACTTTATCATTAGCTCGCGTGTCGTGCATGTTAATGATCTGATGCAATCTCATTATTACCTTCTATCTCCTACCTCGATGATGAAATGTCTTGGTTAGGTGTTTAGTTGCCTGTGATGATTCACTCTCGTTCTAATCTTGCCTAGATAAAATGATATTTTGGTTAAGAGTCGATGCCCCTTATTCTTCTTGCCACGATGATGCAATATCATGGTTAAGAACTAATGATTCCCCCAATCTTGCTTTCCTTGATGATTCGATATCTTAGTTAAGCCTCCCTTTATCCTACCTCGATGATATGATATCATGGTTAGATGCCCCTTCTCCCTTGTCCTACCTCGACGATATGATATCGTGGATAGGCGCGATCCCTTTCCATATCCTTCCTTGGTAACATGATACCTCGGTTAGGTGTGTGCTACTTGAGTGAGTGGATACTCCTCAATATTTGTGTGTTTGCTTTTATTGTATGATTAGAAGCTCCCGTAGGATTTCTCGATTCAATCTTAGGAAGGTAATTGAGATAGACCTTAGGTTGTATACCATGCATGCCAATAATAGGTACACTTCCCTTTCATCCTCAACTATAGGATTAAATTTGCATGACAACTCTAGGCTTATTTTGTTAGTCTCCCTTAGGCCTTTTTCTTTCTCTTTTGCATTTACATTAAAACAAAAACCTTTCTTTTTTCTTTCAACTATAACATAAAAACCCTTTTTCAAGGTAAAAAACACCAACTAATTCAAACTTCATTTTTCCGCTTGGCTTTTCTTTCAAAACTCTTTTTCAAGGTAGAACATACAAAAAATTGAAACATGTGGGGCGAACTACGATGTTCTAATTCCTCGAAAGGGAAACGTAGGTATTAGGTCGTGGGGCCTAGGTGAGCAAAACTTTGTAAATATTCATTCTTTTCCCTGTATTTTATTTCGCATGCATTCCCTCTTAGCATTAAGACTTACACATAGACTTTTACACACCCTTAGATTATAGCAAACTTAAATGGATCATGTGGAGTACCACAGACGTGTAGGGTGTTAATACCTTCCCCTCACATAACCGACTTCCTTACCCTTTCTCTTGGTCGAAATACCATCTTATCCATTTCTTTGGGGTTCTCTCGATATCTTCCCTTCCTTCGGGATAAATAGAGTTTGGTGGTGACTCTGTGTTTTTTTCGCAGCGCGATAGCTGGCGACTCTGCTGGGGATAGGTTGACCAATTGCTGGTCCATCCTATGGAAGTCCTAAATTTCATTTTTTTTCTTATCTTTAGGTGTTTTGTGTTTATCACTTTATTTATGCTTTATTTACATGCTTTCATGCATATGTTTTCATATCATTTTACTGCTTTCCATATACTGCTCTTGTGCTTGATTTGGCGGTTTTCAGGTTGGGTGGGATGTTACTATTGAGGTAAAAGGCCCAATACCCAGGCCAAGTGACAAACAATAGGAACACTAGGAATAGAGTGGAACATGACAGATAGGGGATGTAGATCTCCCTATGAGGATATGTCATCCATGCTTAAATGAAGTTTTAATGAGGTGTTATCATTACCACGTAGGTGTATGATGATAGTATTCTCAAGCAAACCTGGGATTCTAAGTTACCATTGACCTTATCCTAACCTAGTCTTGACCCGTGAGCGGGGAAGGAATAATCTTTACATGTACAGATGGTGACTCTATGGTTCATATGGTTCTGTTCTAGATTTCTGTTGGTGACTATGGTTCTTTGGTTTATGTTTCGGACCATTGATCTCATGAAATTCGGCTTTTCCAAAAGAGCGTACAGTATTTATCCAAAAGATTGTACAATACTTATTCATAGGATTTTATAGTGTTTACCCAAATTCTATGGAGCCTTGATCCCATGTTGTTGCATACCATAACATCACATCATTATGTGTACGCATCACATTTCCAGGGAATTCCAAAGACAAATCTTTTGTTGAGCTTTAAAAAAAATGATGAAAATGATAATGAATTCTATTACCAAGAGAATACTTTTGGATAGAAAATTCTATGGGTTTCCCTAGAAACGAAAGATGAAACATGCATTCATAATATCATGCATTTCATTGTTCGTATCAGAAGCTTATTGGGGCCTTTCTTTTCACTCAGAGTTCAGAATCAACGATAGTGACTTACCTACATCTGTACCGTACAGAAGTAATTAGTGAAGATTCATGGATCTCTTTGAACAAAATCAGAGTGTTCTCTGCCAGGACATGGATACTATGGGTTCTAGAATGAATCAAATCCTAGAGACTCTCCATTTTTTTATTCAGGGTCAAGAAGAGTTCGTCAGAATGTAACTAAGATTGCGGAGGTTGCTCCTTCCACTTATAATGGCCCCCCAATTCTCCTAATGAAATTCCCAAGCCTGCTATTGTTGTGATTACTCTTGAAACTCAGAAGAAGGTGGTTGACGACCATTACGATGTCATTGATCTTGATGACCCTCAGAGTGATCTTGTTATTGATCTTACTAAAACTGTTGAGTTGTATCATGCTCTCGAAGAATGCCTCAAAGTTGTGGAAGTTTCTAAAACTTCTAAATTCAATGTTGTTGTAATGTGTCTTGTTCCTAGAATTATTATTCCTCCAAAGTTCAAAGTTCCAGAATTCAACAAGTACATATGCACCACCTTCCTAGAGACTCATCTCTGTTCATATTGTCGCAAGATGGTGGCTTATGTTGAGAATGAACCCTTACTCATGCGCTTCTTTCAAGACAGACTGATCGGGGAACTGTCGGAATGGTATATGCAGTTAGAGAGAACTTATGTCAGTACTTGGGGAAATCTTGTTGATGCTTTGTTGAAACATTACCACTACAACACTACCATGGCTCCTAGCCTAACCCAACTTTATAATATGGCTCAAAAATCTGAATAATCTTTCAAAGAATACGCTCAGAGGTGTTGTGGGCTGGCTGCAAGGGTTCAACCCTCTCTCTTGGATGGTGAATTGACTGATTTATTCATGGGTACCCTGCAAGGTCCTTACCTTCAGCATATGATTTGCAGTATTTTTGCATCCTTCTTTGATATGGTTATTATTGTGGAACTTGTCAAGACTTGTATCAAGGTTGGTACGATCCAAGGTACTCCTTGCACTAACAACACTAGCAATGGCAAGAATCCTTATTCTGGGTTTGTCAAGAAGAAAAAGGGTAAGACTAGTGCCACTATTATGGATAAGGGTGAGGCTCCTGCCTATCTATAAGAACAGATTCCTTATTATCCAATGCTCGTTGCTATTCCAAATCAGTTTGTCACTGCTGCAAATTCTCAACCATGGGTGGTTCAATAACAACCTTTCATTCCACAACCCCAGTATGTTCCTCAACAATAGTATGTTCTTTCTGAGAACTACCAGCAGCAAAATCTGCAACAGGAACAACAGAGGAAGATGGGTCCCAAAAGAAGAATTGATCCAATTCCTATGCCATATGATCAACTTCTTCCTCAATTCTTGCCAATCAGTTGATTCAGTTGCGTGAACTTCGTTTGCCACCGGTGGAACTTCTAAGGGGTATGATGTTAATTCTCATTGTGAATTTCATTCAGGGGCCCCAGGCCACGCAACTGAGAACTGTATAGCATTGAGGTGCAAAGTCCAGGACCTCATCGATTC